TATCTTAATGTCCCCTAGCGAATGGGCAGGAATGGCCTTCTGACAGCAAATTCAATGTTTAATTATGTTACAACGGTTCTGTTGTACATGGTTCCTACACCTAAAGATTTGAAATAGTTCTGAGCCGATCTGGTCACATGCCCTCTAAAATTAAATAACCAGGACAGCCTTTCTTCCTCCAGGTTGGTGATATGGGACCACTCTCTCATGTCCCCTAAGGGCCTCAAGAAGCAACTAAACCTACCAGCCAACTATTGTCAAGAGAAACAGCAAAGTCTCATCAGTTATGCCAGCATCAGAATGGCTCTGGCCAGACTAACTCTGGCCTCTACGTTGGTAATACTGAGCAAGCCTGGTTAGCAAGTTAACTCGTGACATTGGTTATGTCAACAAGTACAAACCAGGCTACTTAAAAACTACACCCAATTGGTTTAGATTTTAGAGGATTCGAGATGGAAAACAGAAAACCATTTCAAGGGAGAATTCAAAAACAGGACTTTTACTCTCCAAGTTATTAAATCTACTCACGGGTCTTAGGCGGCATTGCTCATGAAGCGGTGTGATGGACAGGATATACATTGCACAAATGTTCTTCCGCTGCGCTCCAGAAGAAGGGAGATCATTTGCTGAATGACCGTAATCTTCGCTGAACGAGGAGGACATGAGCAAGAGCCGGCGTGGCGCTTCCCGGGCGGTGGTTGGAACATTTGGTGTTCTGCCTTCTAGACTCTGAGCATCCTTTCCCACTGAGAGCTAGGGATGGACAGGGTGTGAGCACTTGCTGACTTCTTGTTGAAACTTCATTGCTGCCCCCCCCCCAACTTTTCAATGTATGCAATACATAAATAAACACTGAAATGTATGGGGGAAAAAAAAGAAATGGTACATGGTATGATTTCATGTATAGGACATCTTCAAAAAAAGACAAAAGCTTACTGGTGGAGTGGTTTGGGGGTACAAGGAAGGGGTAACTACAAAGGGATTGCATAAGGAAGTTTTTCTTGGGGGGTGCAGCTCTGGCAGTGGTGGTGGTCCCACAAATAGGTACAAGTGCTAAAATTCATAGAACTGTTACCTTAAAAAAGTCACTTTTAACTGTATGATCTTTTAAAAACAAAACTTAAAAATTCATTTATTATTTTTGAATAGCTAAAATAATAGAAATTTAGAAAATATGATCAAAAGTTAAAACTCATGCCCATTTATAAATTCTTAAAAAGGAATGGAATTTGAATGATATATATGGCTTTTATTTTTTATTTATTTATTTTATTTTATTTTTATTTTTTTTGAGACAGAGTCTCACTTGTTCCAGCTAGAGAGTCCATTTTTTTTGGCGTCAGCCTAGCTCACACGCAACCTCGAAACTCCTGGGCTCAAGTGATCCTCCTGCCTCAGCCTCCTGAATAGCTGGGACTACAGGCATGTGCCAGCATGCCCAGCTAAGTTTTTGTATATATATTTTTAGTTGTCCAATTAATTTCTTTCTATTTATAGAGCAGGGTCTGGCTCTTGCTCAGGCTGGTTTCAACTCCTGACCTCGAGCAATCCCCCGACGCGCCTCCAGAAGAGCTAGGATTACAGGCGTGACCACCACGCCCAGCAGGTTTTGATTTTTTAAATATATTTTTATTTTTATCCAGACAGTACAAGTATGTGATTTGAGACAGTGAAACTGTACCCTGGCACTTGCAGTGAAAAGCAGTCGACACCATCTATTGACTTCCTGATGCGAGAGATGAAACAATTCCCTCTGTGCGCCCTCCACACACCTGTTCCGTTCCCTCCCTGTAATAACGACCTGCTTATTCAGAGCCCAATCTGTAGCCCTCATAACTTTAAAGAGGCATGTTCCACTTACTCTCTTTCCATCCAGTTGAAGAGAGTCCGGTCTTCATCCCCCTGACCTTGCTGGGTGAGAGTATTTGCGCCTTTACTGACCGCTTCACCTCTACTCCCTTCTTTTTCTTCCCATATACAAAGTTTATTTTCACATCATTTTATTTTTGAGACAAGGTCTCACTCTTGTTACCAAGGCTGGAGTGCAGTGGCATCATCATAGCTCACAGCAACCTCAAACTCCCAGGCTCATATCATCCTCCTGCCTCACAGCAGGTCAGGCATCCATGGGGTAGGGCAGCTGTTGCAGACCTTGGGGGGACAGGGTGAGGAGCAGGATGCAGTCTGGGCATCTTGGACCTTCATGAGACATGGGTGAGGAGCAGGACGCAGTCTGGGGCATCTTGAACCTTGGGAGGACAGGTAGGAACATGAATGAGTCTGTGGCATCCTTGGACCTTGATGGGACGGGGTGTGGACAGGACGAGTCTGGCATCCTTCGGACATTGGGGGACGGGGTGAAAGAGCAGACACAGTCTGGGGCACCTTAGGACCCTTGGGGAGGGTGAGGACGGACGCAGTCCTTGGGGCCATCCTTGGACCGTTTCTCGAACAGGTGAAGAGCAGACGCAGTCGGGCAATCCTTGACGCTTTGAGGGATGGGTGTGAGCAGACGAGTCTGCGGCACCTCTTGGACCTTGATGGGCGGAGGGTTGACAGGGACCAGTCTGGGTATCCTTGGGACCTTGGGGACGGGCTGAGAGGCAGGACACATCTGGGGCATCCTTGACGCTCATGTAGACAGGTGAGGAGTCAGGAGCAGTCTGGCATCCCCTGACTCTCATGAACTGAGGAGCAGGACGCAGTCTGGGGCATCCTTGGACCTCGGGGGGATGGGGTGAGGAGCAGGACGCAGTCTGGGGCATCCTTGGACCTTGGGGGGACGGGGTGAGGAGCAGGACACAGTCTGGGGCATCCTTGGACCTTGGGGGGACAGGGTGAGGAACATGATGTAGTCTGGGGCATCCTTGGACCTTGGGGGGACGGGGTGAGGAGCAGGACACAGTCTGGGGCATCCTTGGACGTTGGGGGGACAGGGTGAGGAACATGATGCAGTCTGGGGCATCCTTGGACCTTCATGAGACAGGGTGAGGAGCAGGACGCAGTCTGGGGCATCCTTGGACCTTGATGGGATGGGGTGTGGAGCAGGACGCAGTCTGGGGCATCCTTGGACCTCGGGGGGATGGGGTGAGGAGCAGGACGCAGTCTGGGGCATCCTTGGACCTTGGGGGAATGGGGTGAGGAGCAGGACGCAGTCTGGGGCATCCTTGGACCTCGGGGGGACGGGGTGAGGAGCAGGACGCAGTCTGGGGCATCCTTGGACCTCGAGGGGTTGGGGTGAGGAGCAGGACGCAGTCTGGGGCATCCTTGGACCTCGGGGGGACGGGGTGAGGAGCAGGACGCAGTCTGGGGCATACTTAGACTACCGTGCTGTCCTGACTCGGTGGGGAGGAACTACCCAGGCCGTGCAGCTTCCCAGGGCGGGGCGGAGGAAGCAGAGGCCAGTTGCAGGCTTCCCTTGGTCCATGGAAGCAGGGACACTGGAGACCTTTTGCTGCACCTAGTGTGGTCCACCTTCTAGACCAGCTCTTCTCAAACTCTGACGCGCAGGTGAGCCACTGGGGACCTTGTCAGAAAGCTGTTTGGGTGGGGCTTGAGAATCTGCATTCCCAGGAAGTTCCCAGTTCCACACTGGCCTGCTGAACACAATTGGAGGGCCAGGTGCGAGGGGATGGACCTGCCTCCTAGCACCGGGCAGATGTGAGGAGGGCTCCTCAGGGAGAAAGCGGTCAGGCCAGTTTGGCCCCACGCCATCAGGACTTGGGCTGGCAGTTTGCAGGGGCTGTCTGGGAAGACCAGCTACCCAGCCCCAGCGATGACTGACGGCAGACGCCATGAGAACATCTTGCCAGGTACAGACTCGGCAGGGAGAAGAGAGCCACAGCTCTGATGGGAAGTTGGGCTGGAGTGCAGCCCTTCCTGCTGGGTGAAGGGTAGGAAGAGGGCCCCACTCCTGCCGGTTCCTGCTCTAGGAATTGGAACATGAGTCCCTGGGTCTCCTGGGGACAGTCCTGTTCAAGGCCCCCAGGTGTTAATCAAACATTCGAGTTGAGATGTCACATGAACAGTGGGATAACGTCTGGGTTTCAGGGGAGTGGTTTGGGCAGGAGAAGAAGTCATCAGCTGGTGGGTGACATTTAAAGCCCGAGTGGGGATGGCTGTCCCTGAGATGGACAGGAAGTGTCCATTTTCCAAGTGGAAAACCCGCCTGGGTGAGCCCCAAGGCCCTGGGTTCTTGGAGGTCACCGGATGAGGAGGAACCAGTTGGTTGAGGAGGAGTGGCCGGAAACCATCCTCAGACAGCTCAGGTTTGCAGAATTTCTTTCTTCTCTTCGAAATAGCAACAATAACAGCGACAGACATTATTTACTGAGCACTCTGTGTGCCAGGCAGGGGTGAGTGTCCTCAGCGACTTCCTCATTTACTCCTCTCAACAACCCATGCAGTGGGCGCCACTGTGCCGAGGGGCAGGTGGGACCCGGCCCTTTGCCTGTGTTCGCGGAGCAGAGCTGTCGGTGGTGGAGGAAGTGTCCAGCTGCGGCTCCACTCCGTTCCCAGGGCCCCACCGCCCGTCCCTGACTGCCACACTGCCCCGCACCCCCAGGACGGGTGCAGACCGGCCCTGATGAAAGCAAACTGGAAGGGGGTGTGCAGCTCCCCGTCACCCACGGAAGCAGAAGCTATGCCGGGCTCTTCCCACGCGGAACACTTCAGTGCAGCGCTGCTTGACGCCAGTGCTCACGTGTCTCCATGTTTACCTGTCGCGCCCGCCTCGCCAGCAAGGAAGATGCGGCAACTGGAGTTCTTCTGACAGTGCTTTAATGGGGTTCCCTTTAGACTTACATGATGCGGAAGACCCTGAGCACAAGCTCTCACACACTTATATACTCTAAGGAAGGAGGGACGTGATGGGGATAGGTTAAAAGCGCGCGAGGGTTATTACTGATAGGCCAAGCTAAGATCCTTCATATGCATACTTATATAACAGGCCAGGACTTACTCTGCGCATGCGCTGAACTTGTTTACTACAGGCGGGCTACCGGAAATTGGCGCCATCTTGTAATGGCGTTGTCACCACGCCCCACATTTACCGTATAAACAGGAAACAGCAGCAAGAGCAGACCCAAATGGCAGGACGCGGGCTGCCCCAGAGAGCTATTCCTGAGCGTGAGGTTTGCAGAAGCACAGAGGGAGGACTGCGGAATGCCCTCACCCACCGGTGCTTAAACAAGAACATAGAGCACCTGGGGGTCGGCGGCCACGAACCCCACGCCCCCGCTCAGGTGACTGCCCCATGTCTAGGTGACATCTGCTCTGATGCATGGGAATGAACTCAGTCACCTCTTAGCACGGGTGTCATTGCCAACAGATATTTATTCCGGGCTCGCAATGTGAAGCGCCTTGCACTATGAGTTATTTGGAAATAAAGAAATAGAATCCACAGACACATGCTTTACAGGCTAGTCACACTTTTACGAGAGCCTATGACTCAAGGCTGGGGACATTACGAAGCTGTGCTCTGTGTTCACTCTGAGCTTCGGGTGGGCTTTGCTTTGGGGTGATCAGGCCAGGAGTCAGCTGTCTCTCTGGGGAACCCTTAATGCCAGAATGTTGAGCAAATAAAAGCTTATTTCATAGACTCCGCTTTTTCTATATATTAGCACTTGTTCCATTTTGCAACATCTAGATGTATGTAATTCTTTCTGAAATTGTGAAAGATTCCATTATATGGTCATATCATATGGATTTTTAACCATTTCCTCTTGAATAGAAATAAGTTCTTTCCATGAGCTTGGGTGCCTGAGTTCCTCTTTCTCCGCCAGCTTGACTTCTTCTATTGGGTATTAACATCAGGCTTATCCCAGAGGTCAGTATTCCAGATGGTTAATATCTCCAAGCCCTATGATATAAACCTGTCATGAGGAGCTGTCCGTTGGTTTACTGCAAGGCCCTTTTGAGCCATAGGTTAATATATTAATGAAGACTGTGGCTGTTACCCTGCATTAAATAATGACTGTGAATGATTGGAAGAAAAACATCCTTATGTTCTCCTGCGGAGTGTGAGATTGATGAGAATGGATTACCCTGCCAAGAGAACTCAAAAATATTACAACCTTTTATTCCTCTGCAGCTTGGACAAGTGTGTATTCATTTCTACGTTATTACAGAAAAACCTCTTACAATGATTCTGAGCTAAAAACACATTAAATCATCACTTTAATTATATCGAAACAGAACGCTGAGATTCTGTCACTAATCTAGTTTAATCTTGGCATCTCAAGCTCATCCAATATTTTATTTCTATTTGGGTCATATTAGTCAATTGGGCATAAGCTAGTGATATTTATCTTAACAGTTTATTTGGGTAAAGTAGTAAATTATGATAGAATTATAATAATTCCTCAGTTTATATACATCTCACAATCACATACAAACTTGACATTTTAAAATGTGGTCTAAATTCAATATTAATAATAACACTTCCACGATTGTCTCTTCCACTTTTCCAGAAGATTTATATGGCTTGGAATCTTCTGGATGCTATTTTTCTCTCTGAAACTCTACTGTTTAATGTTTTATTTGTGGCATTACCTCTATGTGCAAATGAATACAAAGAGAGGCATATACAGTATGACAATGAGCTTTAGCAAAAATCTAGGAAAAAAACAGTGTGGGTGGGGAGGGGGACGGGCTGGGCCACAAATGCTGCCAGGTTCCACCAGGATGGTCTGAGGGAGGCCAGCAGGGGGCCAGGGCATGCTACTCATGTCCCCAGAATTATCCAGGGGAGGCAGAGGAAACCCACGCCTGGTAAGCTCTGCTGCTGTTCCTTTGACAGGTCACCTGCTGAGTGACAGCTCCTTGCAGGCTCAGGTGCTGGGTCCGGAGCCTGCTTCTGCCTAGGTTAGGGCCAGTGGGTTGGACTAGGAAGCCTCCCAGGGTCAGACTTATAAGCTTGGTAGAATTTCCACGATTCAGACTCTTGCCCTTCGCTTCACAAGTTCAGAAACTGGATTTCCGCAAAGACTTAAGGCAATTAAGCTCAGAGACAGATACCTAGTAGCCAAGTTCATAGAAGTGGTGATGAAAACAGAATTCTAGTTTATTTAATGCACAATGAAATGATCACAGAGCCAGGGAGGTTGGGTCTCGTTCAAGACCAGCTGTTTTCCTGCGTGCAGGTCTCTCTGGGATCTAACTGCCATCAGGGGGCTGCCTGGAGGGCACGTGCCCATGGGAAGGGCGTGCGTGTGCTTGACGTCAGGATGCCCAGAGAGCTTGAGGTGTCACGGAGACATGGTCCTGCCAGTGTCCCCACAGCACTACGTCTACCAACTGCAGCCTTCCACATGCCTGTCCCAGCCACACGAACGGGATGGGGGCTCTGAGCAGGACCTGGTGTCCCTGGGTGAGCCTGCCAGCATGTGGCCAGTGCCTGGATGGCTTATCCTAAGCCTTCATGGACCATGAACCCCTTTGGGAATTAACACGTTAGACATATTAATATATTCCATTAGTTTATAGTTACCCGTTCCAGAAGTCTCCTTCATCTCCTCAACCTGCCCTAGGTAACACAAACCAGAAAGATCCACCAGCAGAGATATATGCATAGCACAGACACAGACAGACTCCTCCACCCTCTTACACTTACACTCTCACCGACACCAAAGGCCAGTGGAGGAAGGAAGGCCCACGCCGGGTCCTCTGTGGCCACTCCTTCTGGGTCTCAGCCCTCTCGCCCGAGACAGAGCAGGCTGAGTTCTAACCTGAAGGTTCAGGAATAGTTCAGCTCCTTTGCATATCTCCTTTCCAATTGGTTGGGTGCTAGAATTAGTTTTGTATGTTACAGATAGATGTTTTTGCAATATGTGTATATATATATATATATATATATATACATATATATATATATATGTATGTATATTTTGGAGACACAGTCTCCCTCTGTCACCTTGGCTAGAGTGCAGTGGTGTCATCATAGCTCACTGCAACCTCCAACTCCCGGGCACAAACGATCCTCCTACCTCAGCCTCCCGAGTAGCTGGGACAACAAACACATGCCACCACACCTGGCTAATTTTTTATATTTTTTGTAGAGACAGGGTCTTGCTCTTGCTCAGGGTGGTCTCAACGTCCCGAGCTCAAGCGATCCTCCTACCTTGGCCTCCCAGAGTGCTGGGATTATAGATGTGAGCCACCATGCCTGGCCTGCAATTATTTTTCTATTGTGGTACTATACATAACATAAAATTTGCCATTTCAACTGTTTTTAAGTATACTGTTCAGGGGCATTAACACCATTCTTACTGTTGTGCAGCCATCACCACCATCTAAATCTAGAATGCTTTTCGTCTTCTCCAACTGAAACTCTGTCCCCATTAACCAGTGACTCCCCGTTTCGCCTCCCCCAGCACCTGGCAACCACCGCTCCGCTTCCCAGCTCCGTGAATCTGGTTATTCTGGGGACCTCATCTAAGTGGAATCGGACAGTATTTGTCCTCTTGCGTCTGGCTTGTTTCACTTAGAATAATGTCTTCAAGGTTTACAGACAGAGTTTTAAGGGCTTAAAATTGGCTAACATCTTACAAAAATCTCTTGCAGAACCTATCTCTTATTCTAGAGGAAGAAGGAAAAGAAGCAAAAGGGCTGGGGTGTGTTGGCGGGAGCTTGATTGACCCTTTTCTCCCGTGGACACCATGAACTCCAGTTTTTCTGGGGGTGGAGAAAGGATTCTGCTCTGCTTAGAGGTTTCGGGCTGGTGCAGGGGACAAGACTTTCCTGAGGAAAGGAGAAGGAACCGGTGTCTGAGAGGTGCACGCTCCTCCGGGGCATCTGGAGTGTCTGCTTGTTGTGACGGCTGCTGGACCCCACCAAGGGTGGAGAGCAGGGCCTCACCTCCCACTCAGGAGGCGAGAGGGCAGATACCCGTTCCCTCTTCCTACCTGCAGCAGCTGGAGAGCGGGCACCAATCGGGAGTGACTGCCCAGGACGCTGACACTTAGAGAGAGACTTAAAGGCGTCTGTCTCGTTGGGCAGGTTTCTTCCTGGCATGGCAAGATGCCAGGACCGTGGGTGGCAGCAGCTCTTGCAGACTCTGCAGAGCTCCAGGATCTAAGTCCCAGGTGGCAATGCTCAGAAGCAGATGACCAAGACAGGCCCAGGAAAGGGGTTCAGGGGTCAGGGGCACATGAGTCCTACTGGAGCCCTCGTGCAGCTATTTGGGGTCTGCCTGTTCTGTCTGGTGCTGCTGGGGCACCCACCGGTCCCTGCTGGTGCCACCTGAGGGGCACAAGGAGCTTCCTAAGGTCAGGCCACCTAGCACTCTAAGTGGGATGGGCCTGGGTGCTTCCTGGGCCAGGTGCATGTTACACTGCGTTCCCCTCCTACTGCAGCCTCCTGTTGCTCTGTTCCTCCAGGTGGGAGAGGGGGGTGTGATGCCTTGCCCACTTAGTGTCACCGAGCGCCCAGTCAGTCCCTTGCCAGCACTGCCAGACTTGCCTGGTATTGTTGGCAGAATTACTGTTTGATCTGGGGGAGGAGTGAGCCCACCTGGGACACCTGCTGTTTAAGGTGTGGGCCAGGAGACACCGGGCCTGGGTCACCTGTGGTGCGGTTGGGGCGCTCCTCCAGGCTGGCTCCCCGACCAGCATGCTGTCCTCCCTCCGCCTGGTCGCCTGGTGCCTGGCGGGGTTCTCCTTCAGGTCCTGCTTGGGGCCAGCCTGCTCTTTATTGCACTGTCCTGTTTAATTATCTATGTCGAGTTTGTCAAGTACCTGGCATTTTAACTAATTAGCTAATTGTATTTGTCTCTCCTCCTAAAGTATAAGCATAAGACAGCTGAAACCTGTAAGAATTGTTCTGTATTTCTGTATTTACTTACAAGCTTTATTTAGGTATATGGTCTCAGTTCCTAGATAAAGTCCATCCTAGTGAGCTAAACGAGTGGATGAAAGCCAGAAAGTAAAAAAGGGAGTGAACGTAGAGGTCTTCTTCACCCCCAAACAAGATTCTTAGTCATCTAGTATATGAAGAAAGAACAATGTCAGAACAATTTCCTGGGATAGATCAGGCTGGGGTGCAACTGTTTACTTACAGCGCAGACTGGATTTTCCTCTCCTGCAGGGGTAGGAGCCAGCAGTCGTTAGCAAATGCAGGAATGTCTGTTTTGACTCTGCAAATACAAGGAAGAGAGTGTGAGGGACATGCGCACGTCTGCAGGGTTCATGCCCGGCCTCTGCCCAGAAGCACCGGGAGGGGTGAGTTTGGGCCTGGCTGGGGTCACGGCCCACTCCACACTGACAGCTGCCACCCCCGAGGGGCCCTGTCTACCTGCAGGGACGTGGGAGCAAGCCCTTTGCCAGGCTGGCAGCACTCCAGGTAACCGACTCCTGCCTCTGCCCTGTGGTGAATGCCAGGTCACCCAGTTGTGCAACTGTGTGGAGCTGCCAATCTCATCACTTTTTCTCCTCCCTTTTTGGGGAGAGGAAAACCATGCTAAATAAATAATTGCCAATCCACAAGAGCCCTGAACCTCCTTTGGCCTGTCCTTGAACGATACTGAATTCCTCTGTTAGTCTGTGTGCCTAACACTAACCTATTTATTTTTGCTAATGAGACAGAAGTAGAAGATTGGGAATTTTACAATGTTAGACACCACACTTTACAAGCCAACCAACTTAATTATTGACAAGGATCAAGGATATTCACCTCCCCTACTATTTATCATCATAGCATGCCTAAAGGGAATTAACCACATTTGATTTTAATTAGAATGGAATACTCATGATTTCAGAAGAAAGCTTAACTCTGCTAATTCTGAAATTAATCTGACTTAATCTTTCTAATGTTTCCGAAACAAATCTTTCAGAAAAAGAATGGCGTATGGTTTCTTTTAAATCGCCTAACTGTAGAAATTGACTCAGTGACTTAAAAAATGATTCCTCATTTAATGCTATATGTTTATTTGCATGCTTTTCCTTGTAATTATTATTTAAATTTCAGATTAAATGCCATCCCCAGACTCATACCGGGAGCTAAGCTACACAGACATCATTGTTAGAAGAATTAAATATACTACTTAAGAGAGAAAGTAAGAGCATCACCAACTTTAACAATTATATTAATAAAGGCTGACAATGCCAAGAGCTGAAACATTAGGACTGTCACTAAGATAGGTTGTAGAATCTCTGTTCCCTGAGATCTATAAGAACACACACACACACACACACCCCTGAAGGTAGGAGGCTGGATAGGTTTTGAGGTCTCAGCCTTTAACTTTTAAAACTACCAAATGAAAAATCAAAACCCACGTTTTAATGATAAAGTCATAAGACAGAAACTGAGAGAATGGCAATGATCCAGTGAATTTAGGCAGTGTAGACAGTATGTAACATTCAGCCCAAATACTGGACCCTCAATTATCTACAGCATAATTCAGACGCAATTATTATAGGTCTGTAGTGTCAGATGGTATAATGTAACATAACAATGTAACACAATACAACATAACGCAACACAACACAACACTATACAACATAAAGTGATACAGAGTAATGTAACGCAAGGTAACATAAAGTAACACAACATAATATAACATTATAAGGTAATATAATATACTATTTGTAACTGGATTTCTGCTACCTATCCAGGTCCTTTCCAAATCTTTCTAAGCAGTCGGAAGCCAGGCAGTAGCCAAGAGGTACGCCGACACTGAGGAGCTGAGCATAGTTACAGGGTAAGTCAAACTCTGAGGTCACAATTGATGCTATTAACAGTCTTTACATTGAAAATAAACCACAAAACACCTTTGCGGTGATGGAGACATACAATTTTGATAATGCGAGTAGTAAATATTAGAGGAAGACCAAAAAAATGATTATAAAAATATTTTTTCAAATCAGCAGTTTTCACAGCACCCACAATAAACATTTATCAAGACAGCCATGTAATATAAAAACACCCACATCTATTTAGAATACCAAAATATGTTCTGGGAGCATTCTCAATTCATAAATTGCAGGATGAATGTTTCTCCACGTGCTGGCTTGATATAACTCACACGGACATTACTTCTTGCCCTCCGCACGCTCTTTGGAGCTGTGCATTATAGGAACGTCAGGCTGGATTTATAGGAAAGAGACTTCTGCAGGTGGCATTATTAATGGCAAATGGAAGAGTCACCAGACGTTGGAAATCGGAAGTACTGAAAAACCCCCTTTTCACTTGAAAGGCTATAAATCTACACATAATCTTGAATTCACAAGCAAGCCTTTTATGCAGTAAGTTGATAGCAAATACATTATTGAAGAGACACATAATTACCTTAAAATCTACCTCAGTTAGAAATGTCTTGGAGCTCCCAAATTATAATTTAATTTTATAAAAGTAAAAAACATAAACATTTTTACTCCTAATTTTTTTCTTTGAGTTTTACCTTTTATCCTTATGCATATAAAAACAAAGCAGGGCTGTTTATAAAGTAATAACCCAGACTGTCCCAGGAAGCCCCAATATTTTCTTTTTCTTTCTTTCTTTTTTTTTTTTTTTTTTTTTTGAGACAGAGTCTCACTTTGTTGCCCAGTCTAGAGTGAGTGCCGTGGCGTCAGCCTAGCTCACAGCAACCTCAATCTCCTGGGCTCAAGCGATCCTCCTGCCTCAGCCTCTCAAGTAGCTGAGACTACAGGCATATACCACCGTGCCCGGCTAATTTTTTGTATATATATTTTTAGTTGATCAATTAATTTCTTTCTATTTTTGGTAGAGATGGGGTCTCGCTCAGGCTGGTTTCAAACTTTTGACCTTGAGCAATCCGCCCGCCTGGGCCTCCCAGAGTGCTAAGATTACAGGCTTGAGCCACCGCCCCTGGCACCCAGTATTTTCTAATAATATAAAAAACTGATTTTGATGAACAGGAGAAAGGGAAGTTTGATCATCCCTTCAGTATATGAAGCGGCAATCACAGAACTCCCCAGCTTTGCAGAGACCATGTCTAGGGTCAGACCATCATCTCCATTTAACCACATCTTCTGTAGACTGAAGGGGCCAGTCAAGGAGCTGGGGTGTGTAGACAGGTGCTTTCCAGTGGGTATTAGATTTTTAAATCCGTCTCTGCATTTTTGTCTGTATCTACATCCACCTCTGTATATCTCTATCTCATCTATCTGTAACTATTCATATATCTATAACCATAACCATACTTCTCCATATCCATATCAATAATTATCTAACTATATCTATAATATCTATACCCATATGTATGATTATATCTGTATTTTATCTATTTATACCTTATCCATATCTATACCAATTGTATCTATATCTGCATGCATATCTGCAACTATATCCATACCCCTACCTATATGTGTAACTTTCTCTCTTTCCTGGAGTGGCCACGCGGCCTAGAAGAGAGAGCTCTGGACTTGGAGCAGAGATCTGAAGTTTAGAACTGGCTCTACCACTTATTAGCTGTGCGATCCTGAGTATGTTACTGAACCTCATTGGATTTCCATTTCTTCACCTGTTAAATAGAGATGACGACCTTTTCTTACCTTGTTGGGTTGTTGTGAATTTAAACAGTGGATGGTGTGCTTTGTGGGCTATAAAATACCACATAAAAGTCCAACATGGTCAGTGATAAAAATTTTTAGGTCCAGCTTGAGGAGTAATGAATAAATTAGGATAAATTCCCATTTTAAGCACCATTTCCCAGAGAACGACAGTAATCCATAGCATAATAAACACGTTGGGAGAATCTGTGGAACACAGAGGAGGAGCAAGGAGTCCACTGGCCTCCAGCGAGGCGCGGCGTGCACCTGTGCCGAGCCCTCGCCCTTCCCAAGCCTTGCTTTTCTCATCTGCAGTACTGTCACTTGATTATATTAAAAGACAATGCAAGATCCATTTCATGTTCAAAGAAGCCCAGAGTTAAAGAAGAACTGAGTGTTAAGGATAAATAACATCAGCTTTGGTCCAAAATACTCCCTGCTCTGATTCATGATGGCACTTCTCCCCTAAACCTGGGGCCCTTTTGAGAAAAGATAGGTTGCCGGAGAGCAGGAATGATTCTGTAAGGACCCCTGGTGACCAGCCGTGCCGGGTTGCTGCGTTTCGTGTAGCCTCAGTGCCCCCTAGCTCTGCTCACTGCTTAGAACACACTGTGGCTGCCTCTGAGGAGCACAAAGGAGGGCTCTGCTCCTTTGGTAAGTAGAATAAGCAGGAGGGCAGATGGAGGGAGACTACTGGTTCTCACAGAAGGAGGAGCAGCGTAAAACTTCAGCCAACACATCAGGCTTTGTCCCAGGGAGAGAGACTCCAGTCTTCTGCTGATGTTTGTAACATTGCAAGGCCAGGCACACACCGCTCACGCCAGGCAAATGCTGAGTTACTAAAGCCTTCTTCACAAGCTGCATTTTCTAAGCAAGAGCTTGTATGGGTGGTTCTTGCATTTAAATTTTAGGTGTAAAGTATGGAAGGTGTTTTGCTTCATTTGCATATTTCTTGACGAGGTAAACACGTAAACCATTTCCAAGAGTCTGTTACAGTCTGTTGCCTCCAATCATTGTCCACAAAACGTTTTTTCCTGAGAACCAATGCTCACACTATGTCTGGTGCTGGGTAGAAGAAACTACAGGACATGGTCTCTGCTTACAGAGAATTCATACTAAGGAAGACAAGATGTATATACAAAAAGATAAACAATGATAAGATCTTCCTACTCTGTCGTATATCACATAAAACCAAAAAGCAACACAGGCTCTTAGGCTACTGCTTTGCTGGTTTGTGTGTTTGTTTGTCTTGATGTTTTAAAGAATCATAGAAACCTTCCCAGAAAATAAACTCATGTGAGACCAGCAAGTCCTGCGCAGATTGGATGATTTTTCTGCATCCTCCCAGCTCACACAACCTAACCATGCCCTGACTACCACTGGGAAGCAGTTCTTCAGTTCAGGTGCCTGGTGTGCATTTTTATGTCCTAATGATTTGCTAATAAATTTACAAACGAGCACAGTCTAAAAGCATGTCAGGGCATCCAGCAGCGTTTCACACCTTGCTTTAAAGTGTATGTCAGGGAGATTATTGAGCTGACTTCCTGTATAGAGTGCTTTTATGACACTCACTTGAAAATTGGTTTAAAAATGCTGTGAAAGAGGAACATTAGCAGCAGGATGTTTAGGAATGCCGCAACTCAAGAGTGCATAAAGGAGCCCAAGATATTTCTGTGAAGGTTTACAAGCTACTACATGAGCCCTCCCAGCTCCTTAAATAACGTGTGGCAGAGGCACCTGCTTCGTGCCCATGTGGAGGAGACAGCCGGCAGCTGGGAGCTGGTTCTTTCACGGAGGCCTCTTGCCCTGCCAGCGAGCCCGGGTTATGTGCAGGAGTGACCATAGGTGTGACCTGCTTATGGAGAGGGGACCTTAGAGAGGGAAGACGCATATGCCTAGAGCCATTCATTCTTCAGATGTTTTTGTCCACTGGCTTGGCTTGTAACCCAAGAGCCAAGAGCTGATAAAAAAAGATATTAGTTAGCTTAAATATATTCCTTGCTTTGGATGGGAAGACTCAAATGTTGTAAAAGTGTCAATTCCCCCTAACTCAAGTCCAATCAAATACCAAGAGGATTTGGGGTGAGGGGTAAGTTAGCAACATATTATATAAAAATTCATACTGAAAAGCAAATATTTGGGAATAATCAGGAAACTCCGAGCCTAGGGACAGGGGAGACTTAATGGACTCACCCCTACTCCAGCCACTGCCTTTTCCACATCTACCTGCTCACTTCTGGGCCCAGTTCTCAGGCCTGGAACCCCCAGGGCAGCCCAGCAAGGGGCCTGGGCTCTCAGGAGTTAACTCTTAGTATTTCCTAAAGTTGTGGGGGCCTGAGCCCACTGTGTCTGGGGCTAGGGAAGATGCCCTAATAGCACCATTCCTCCCAGGATTTATGCTCAGTGGGCTGTCTTAAGGCTTGGTTCTGGGCCTGGATGAGGCATGTGTGCTCCTCAGTGGACTCTCTGAGGTTCCTACAGGCACCCTCTCCCCTACAGGCCGGCTGGCAAGAGAAACCAGCTCTGACTCTGCTCCTAGCAGGTACCTCGGGGAGCCCTCTACTAAGGAGGAGCTCTGGGATGCAGTGATGGCTGGTACTGCAGAGCCTGATCCAGAGGTGTCTGGGCTGCTTCAACCTTATCCCAAGTGGCCTGACACCCCCTCCAAGATTTGCACAAGAACGCAAAGAATATATATAAGGAAATATGTTTACAGCATTGTTCAAATAGGAGTACAAAGCAGAACAAAACTGTTAACAATCTGAATGCCCGTTCCCATAAGACTGGTTAGATAAATGCAACATGCACTAGTCATGGACTACTAATTGTGCATTAAAAAGAACGAAATAGATGTGCACATAATGATATGGTAAAATAGCCAAAATATGTTGCTTGGTAAAAATGTCAAGTGGCAAAACAAATCTCAATTGTGTGATTTTTAAAAAAGCTTATACAGGTGTAGAAAATTCTGGAAGCATGGCTAGAAAATCTTCCCTCCTGGTTGCACCCAGAGAACAGATCTGAGGGGGAGGGGAAAAAGACTAACTTCTTACATATGCCTTCCACAGTTTCCATCTTTTTCTCCCCTAGAAAGGATCATAAAAAAGCTAGTGTAAAAGTTCAACATCCATTTTTAATGCTCTTAATTCCCTTTCCTAGAGGAGTTTATGAGCCGTTGTCCAATATGAATATTTTCCAAGTCAGATGGTTTCTGGACTTTGGCTGT